TTTAGGGTTTAGGGTCTAACCCCTAAACCCTAAATCCTAAACCCTAAACCTAGGGGGTTCAGGGTTCAGGATTTATGGCCATTGGGATGTAGAGGTTTAGGGTGTTCGGGTTTAGCGGTTTTAGCACTTTGAGCAAGGTTGAAGAGTTCAACGCTTAGGGGTTTAGGGGGCTTACTGGTAATGATGCAGGCATCTGCGTTCGTGTTTATAAACCCTTGTTAAACCCAACTTCCATTATATGTTCCAGTCTTTTTCCATTCAGTTATCCATTGTTGGTACTTGCGCCCCTAAACCCTAAACCCTAAACGGGTTTAGGGTTGAGGGTTTAGGGTTTAGGCCAGAAAATAAGGGCTGAAGACCTGTAAGCCTTCAAGCTCTAGTCCTACTCGAAGGGTTATGGGGACTTTGTAAGTAGGTTAATGATGGGGATAAGTAAGGTTACTATATGGGCTATGGGGGTTATTAACCTACCTACTAAGTCCCCCTGACCTGTCAAGTACAGCCATTCAACGTTGAATCCCCGCCCCTGCGGTTGAAGTTTGGATGGATGGCCTGGGCAAGAGAGTTTGCAGTTTTCCAAATGTTTCGATAGAGGCCCAAGCTACACCCCAATATAGTATCACCCTGAAAATGGGACAACCCTGAACCCTAAACCTCCATATTTCGTGCTACGTCCCACTTCCCTGGGCTTTCGGGTTTTGCGCTTCAGGGTGCCTTCGCATGCGTCATTGGCAACCTTCTGGCATAAGTTCACGGACCCTGACTGACCAACTTGGAGGGTCAGGAAGACTCAGAAAGTCGGTGAATGGTTGGGATACTTAGGGTTACTACATGGATTACAGGGGTTATCAGGCTACTTCCTAAGCCACCCTGACCCTCCAAGAACCAGCAAAAAACCGTTAATGGTTTTAGCCACATGAGGTTGGGAGGAACACTGCAGATGTCTCAAAATTTATCTCTCTTGAATTTGGGGTAGATTTGCTGTAGATCTGTACAAGGGAGCCCGACTGAACTTCAAGATTCCCCTGCAAAAGAGGTTGCTGGATGAGTTCTCAAGCCCTGATCCACTTTAGCACAGCCCATTGAACCTCCTTAGTCGTTATTCAGCTCTCACAAGAGCCTAGTAGCCTACAAAGGGTGACTGTAATCAACCAGCCCAAGCTTCACCGATTAGACGGGGCAAGCCATCGCTGCACAAGGTTCTGTGCGTGTACTGTTTGGTGGTCCGAATCCACGGGCTTTAGCGGACTCCGCCGATCCTCGGAGAATTTGAGCAGACCACGTGTCTTCACTGGGCGTCAAGGGCAGAAGGCTGGCTACATGAGCTGTAGTCTTATTTTCCTTCAGGGAGGTTAGATGGGGTTTAGGGTTTAGGCTTTAAACTCCTGGAAGACTATCTGGGTTATCTTAAGTAGATAGAATATGGGGTATATGGGGTCTTATTATATTACATCTACTTAAGGGGGACTATTTTAATTACAGGACAGAACCTCCCCAGCCATAGTTTTTTTTGTCACCGGTAGACGTCCTGTCTGCAGGTTGGTTGCAATACCCTACTAAGTACTAAACCCTAAACCTATGTATTCAAGGCGTCTGCCAGGAAGTTGCTTCCTAACATGTCCAAGAGCATAGCTTTGAGATGAGACTACCCTATATAATCCCTTCTATAACCCCCTTTAAGGAGTTTAGACCCTTAACCCTAAACCTTCAGCGGTATAGGGTTTAGGGTTTGGGGTCTAGCATTTAGGGTTCAGGCTGAGTACTTTCCTCAACTCTAAAGCCCCGAAGCCCTCGAGAACAATATGGGGGTTCCCAAAATTAGGGTCCCATCCACGAAATATTCGGTGCCAGAATATAAGCTGCAGACGAAAGGGTTCATAATTTTGAAAACAACCCATATGCCGGGTTGAGCCCCGCACCCAGCAGTGGTGGTATAGTTGGAATATCTAGGGACCTTGACGCAATAACCTTTGTTCAAGCGCGCACAGCCACCTCTCGAAGAAAACATTCTGAGGAAAGGCCCACAGTGTACTTCACGTGCCAGAAGTTTCGCGGCGCCGAATCTGGGCCGGCATTTACAAAAACAGGGGTCACCCAAAAGATGTACTGCTTTCAGACAGTGAGTTCCTCGTGGAATGAATTCTCGTTTTTGAGCTTCACCTTGGAAATCTCAGGATTTGGATTCGGGAGGGCCTAGAGGGCGCGAATTTTGAAAAGATGTTGTTGTTTCATGGCAGGTGTGTTGCAAAAATGCTGTTTGGCTCTTTATTCGTTCAGACTGTCACAGGTGGTGGATCGGTTGTTGCCGAGGCCGTTGCGAGACATAACCTTGCGGGTTGGGAGCTTCCATGCTGACCTTGCACACTCGAACATTCCAACATATTCCGACCTAATTCCTAAAACCCCCAAATCCTAAACCCTCAAACCTGAACCCTAAACCCTTAGACGTAGCTGCGACGAGATTGTACAACTCAAGCACCCAGGATGATGGGTCAAATGTGCTAGTGTCCTCCGTCTCCTTGGTCAGAGGACCTTCAGGTTTAAACTGTTTAGGGTTTAGGATTTAGGGTTTAGGATTTAGGGTTTAGGATTTGGGGTTTAGGATTTAGGGTAAACTTTCAGACATCCCAACAATGCCTCGAACCTGAAGCTGACTCAGGCTTGGAGGCATAGCAAGAAATCGTGAAGCCATAGACGCAAAGGACACAACCCTGAACCCTAAAAGGACCCTAAACCCTAAAACCCTAGACCCTAAATCCTAAAACGCTTAAACTCCAAACCCTGAAACCCTAGAATCCTAAATCCTAAAACCCTAAACCCTAAACCCTCAAGGGTCTCAGCCATCTCTTTTCTTCAAACTCTTCCAAGGCCTGGAAAGCCTCAGTCTGTGAGCTTCCGAGTTAGGCAGGAAGGGTTTACGCAGACTGCGCTACGCGTATTCCCCACCACATACACAAACGGCCCTTGAGAATTCCGGCTATGTCCTTAAGACCTCAATCCCAACATATCCATATGGTAGTTTCCCAAAGCTAAGGTACCTCTCAATATGAACCCCAATATATTATAGTCCTTATTATAGGGACCCCAAAAAGGTACCCCTAATTTTGGGAAACCCCCATATCAACCTCCAGTTTGCGCATAAATTTCCGGTTTAGGGTTGAGGGTTTAGGGTTTAGGGTTTTTGTTCACTTAACTTTCCACTTGTTTCTCCGTGAGCTACATTTCCCTAGCTTCAATGGAGCCCCCTTAAACCCTAAACCCTGAACCCCCAAAGCCCCAAACCCCAAACCCACAATCCAATTTTCAAGGACAGGGTGGAACGCATGAAGTGGGGAACGCGGAGTACGTCTGAGAAAGTTTTCCAGTCCGGCGTCTCAGTAACAGAATTGGTAAGTCTGGGATCTTAGCAAGGTTGGGGGATGGGGGTTTAAGGTTTAGGGTTTGGGTTTTAGGGTTTGGGGTTCAGGGTTCAGGGTTTGGGGTTCAGGGTTTAAGGTTTGGTTTTGCGCGGTGAAGGGAAGCCTACACCCAAGTACTAAACGACCCGCTGCCCCTGATGGCGGATACGTTCCCGATCCAGTGGGCTGCAAGTACACGGACAGCTGGAGTAATTTGACATCAGCAGGTGGCAGATCCAATTGATACTAAGACCAAGGTATTTCTGAGTGATGACTTGCCATTGTCATTGGAAACTTTTTGATCATACTATGATTATCCACCGTGATAGCCCAATATGTTGCACTTTGGCCGGTTGTGGCCTTGGAGGCTGCGTCATGACAGAATAAGATTAGCCACCTTGCCTTAATTTCCCAGGCTGGATGACAAAATAAACTTCCAATACGCACGCACTTACCACCTCAATCCCATGGTTCATCCGAATTCATGACAGCTGCCATATGACTGCGGCAGCATTCCCTCAATCCACGCTATGTGAACCCTTGAAAAAATGTTATTGCATCATACAACGTGTGGAAAACCTAAGCCCCGAAGCCTTAACCCTGGGGGACTACTTGCAGGGTTCGTGGTGTAGTTGCGGGAGGGCAAGAAGCACCATGACAAAGACAACAGGCACCTATACTCCCACTTGTAATTGCAATAGCAATTGTAATAGTAATACTGTTACTTTCTGAAACAATAATAATGGTAACAGCAACTATATCAGTAGTAATAGTACTAGTGAAAGTAGTTGTAATTAACTAACTAGCTCTTGACCTCCCTGTAAGTGGCTCTTGCTGTTACTGGGACTACTGGACGTTGTTACTGGGACTACTCGACGCTGTGTGGTATTCTCATTCATGCTGCTGTTGTTTAATGTCAGTGCGGTTCGCAAGCTTAGTGCCCTAAAAGCCCTACACCCTTCCGCCTCGCATCCACTTGGTGATGCTTAAAGGGGAGTTGGGGAGTGCAGTCGTATATGATGTATGCTGATTATATTCACTGCACCAGTCCTCCTTAAGCACCGGCAAGTCCAAGCAAGGTAAGGGCGACTCTCTGGAAATGGAATTCAGCGCCCAGGGCAGCAGCCGCATCTACCTTACCATCGTGTGCCCGCACGAGCCCTTTCTGAGTTGTGTCAGGGTTCAGGGGTTCAGGACTCGTTCGTTCAGATGCTGCGTTGGCATGATTTGGGAACTGCATGGCTTCACAAATACGTTGAGAATTGTGTCTACCGGCATGGTCTAGTAAAGAAAAGGAACACGACCAAAAAATGGCCTTTCAGCGCTCAACACCAATGTGCATCAGTAAGGGCCAGGACCCTAGTTACTAGTTGCATTTCATTTTCGGCGGTTTTTCCATTTGATTCTCCACTACTCCTGTATACCCTGGATTTGGCTTTAAACCCTAAACCCTAATCGCCCTACTCCTTCTGACCCAAAACCCCGTGGAAAGGACACTGAAGTTGTGGATAACCCTAAGAACCACCCTAAAACCTAAACCCTAACCCTAATAACCCTTAAATCCTTCACACCCTAAATAACATTGATGGAGGAGATCTTGCACCACCACCTAGTTTAAGGTTTTGGGTTTACGGCAACCCTAAACCCCTGAACCCACAATCCAGCATCTATTAAACCCCGTGCCCCAAACATCTCCTAAGCCCTAAATGCCGAAACCCCTAAACCCAAAATCTTAAACGCCAACGGCAAGATCATCCGAAGTTGCCCCCTCAACCCCAACCCACAATCCGAAATCCTTTAGAAGCCCTAAGTCCTAAATCCCTAAACCTTATCGTCAAGGACACTGAAGTTGTGGTGGATCACGGCGATGGTAGTGAAGTGGAGCTTTCTGCGGCCCCGTAACTGGGACTCGCCCATAAGGTTTAGAGGTTTAGAGTTTAGGGGTTCAGGGTTTAGGGTTCAGGTTGAGTCATTTTAGGGTGTTGGGTAATGGGGATTAGGGTTACCTAAGCCCCAAAGCAGGCAAGACAATGCCTCAAGACCCATCAAAATTGTCCAAAATTGGATCGTATACCTTTGGGGTCCCGACAGGCTTTAGTCTAAGTTGCAGGGGTTTAGTTAAGGTTTAGGGATCTGAGTTTAGTATACTCGCGTATGAGGCACGAAGAGAAGGAATGCCGTGAGATGTAGGAATCGCGCAAAAAGCCCCAAAAGCGATAGGACTCCCCCAAGAGTGCCAGCTCTCCCCGTAGCCGCTCATGACTGGTTCTGGCTTTCCATAGACATGTCACGGCCCGGTAAGAAGGTTTAGGGCTAAGTCTTTAGCCCCTCACCTTAAGCTAGGGCCCGAGAGTTCTAGGTTTACGTTAATGCATGTTCAAGCTCTGGGCCCTCAATGATGTTTAGTGTTTGACAAGGCTAGTGTTGAACCCTAAACCAAGAAGGGATTACAATATATAGACTCAGTCAATCATGCTGACTTCCTAGGCCCGAGCCAGAGGACCCCGACGCGGAGGCGGCTGTACGAGTTATCTTGGTCTTATACTGGGACCGGGGGGGGGGGGGGGGGGG